TCTCCATCACGGCTCTCTGCAACCTCTGCCTCCTGGACTCAAGTGATCCTCCCACTTCAGCCTCCTAGTAGCTGGGACTGCAGGCATGTACCACCATGCCCAGTGAAATGTGTGTGTGTGTGTGTGTGTGTGTGTGTGTGTGTAGATGTTGGTTTCACCATGTTGCCCAGGTTGGTCTCGAACTCCTGGGCCGAAGCCATGTACCTGCTTTGAGTAAAGGATTTTTTTATACAGAGATGATTATAACTTGAAGTTCAGCTGATTCTGACAACTTACTAGATTCCCCCCGCCACCTCCTTGGGACAGGATGGTTGTTTTTGCTTAGGAAATGATAGTATTTTAGCTGCTTATCTGTGTCCCACAGTTGGCAGAGAAACACAGTACACTGATCATGAAGTTGCATCTGGAACCCTGAAAACTCCCAGACCTTAATGTTTCCAAAGAGATAGAAAAGACACATACTTCTGGTTTTGTTGTTTTTTAAAAAAATCTTGGAGGTCTCATTGAACCAGAACAGTGGTTCAATTTTATATTTACCGTTTGTTTTATCTTTTTCAGTGCTTAGTCATCAACAGGGAAAAAAATCACTGTGAGCTTTGAGCCCTGTGAGGATATTACAGCTCACACTGGAATGGCAGTTGTGTAAGGGTAGGAACTTTGTTTTGTTCATTGCTGTATTTCTCATGCCAAGAGTAGTGCCTGTCACTCAGAAATACATGTTGAATGAACATTCACCACTTACCATAGTAGCTGAGTGTAGGCATGCTTTTAACTCTCTTCTTGTCTCTCTTCATTTATAGTTGACTTCAGCGACAAAGCTTTTAGAAAATTTGAGCAGGGAGTAAGGCTAAGCCATAGTAGTTTCACACAGTGGATATATGCTTGGGTTTTGGTTAAATTATCTTCCTACCATAGAATAGCCTTACCCAACATGCTATAGAATTTTAGTTTCTGATATGTGAAAAGTTGATAGACATAAGCAAGGAAACACTAACAAGCTGAAAAAATACACCCAAAATAGTGGCAGTTGTAAATCCATTTCTTAAAATTTCATACTTCTGAATTTTAAAATATTGCCCCTACATTCAAAATTTTCTCTGAATCTGTTTCTTAATGTTAAATGCGTGTGCAAAAAGTTATTTTAACATCGGCGAAAGTGAAAATATTCTTTCAAAATTATTCAGTGTTGCCTTCTTAAGGTTTTGACTCTTAGTTATCCTTTATTTGAAAAGTGAGACAGGACTAGGTAGAAAGTTCTACCTTCAGAAACAAACTTCTGTGTTGTTCTTCTGAAGTTAAACTGAATCTCAGCCAAAAAAGTGCTGCTTTAGTCCCCAATAACCCTCAACATTTTAGGAGGCCTGGCCAGAGCCTCTTAGTTTTTCCTCATGAATTTGGTTCAGACTTATTAGTTTTTATAGTTGGGGTTCTTTTATTATATAAACGGTACAGATTGGTATGCCTCTTTGCCCTTGTTGAAGCTGATGGTGCTAGGTGGCACATAGATGATCACAAACAGTTCTGTGTAGGTGCTAAATATGTCCATTCCTTTTTGGCCTTTTTGGCCTTCCTTTTAGTCATTCCCTCATTATTTTACAGAAAGGAACTTAAAGTATATTGTGTTAGGTCCCCCCTCCAGTGAAAGCTGCATGATGATATCCAATACTATAGTATTTAATAATTTAGTGTATTGATTTTTTACTCCTTTTAGGGTTTTCTCTTAGAGTGGACAAAATCCTATCCATTTGGGACAATATGTGTTCCAATATATGATGGTAAAAGTTTCACCCTCTTTTTCCAGGTAACTTCCAGAAAGGTTTATTATTTATACCCCTCTTGGAGATGGAACCTAAGAACACTGCCCACCTGTCTTCCCTTTTTGTCTGTTCATTATTGCTTAATGTGTTTAAGCATTCCTTATAATTACCTTTTAGGTAATTGCTTAGATTTAATGTAACCACATTACATTCTACTACCTCTACAAATAACGTGAATGTTCAAGGTAACCCAAATAAAACTACTCTTATTCCTTGAGGTATAAACATGACTGGTATCATGGGAAGGTACCTTATGGTACCAGAGAGCCTCTTTCAGAGTCACCTCTATGTGGCCCTTTTTTTCTTTCAAACAAATTTTTTTTTTTTTTTTTTTTTTTTTTAAAGAGATAGGGTCTCACTGTCACCCAGGCTGGGAGTACCACATTGTAATCATAGCTCACTGCATCCTCAGCCTCCTAGGCTCAAGCAACCCTCCTGCCTCAGCCCCCTGAGTGCCTGGGATTACAGGTGTGTGCCAACCTGGCGAATTAAAATTTTTTTTATTTTTTGTAGAGTTGGGGATCTTGTTATGTTGTGTAGGCTGGTCTTAAACTCCTGGCTTCAAGCGATCCTCTAACCTTGGCCTCCCAGAGTGCGGGGATTATAGGAATGAGCGACCACGCCCTGCCTACATTGCCCTTATCTGAAAAATAGTCCTAACAGGCATGGGCAGTTCTTAATTTTGCTGGCAGTGTTTGACAGTGACACTGTTTCCAGCCAAGCAGATGTTTGATTGTGGTTATTGGGAAGAATAGTCTTTGCCAGCATTAAGCCCGTCTTCCTGAACCTTTTTGTTGAATCTCCCTTGTTTGGTCCATCTCTTGGAACTTAATCAGGATATGTGGAAACCTTACACAAATACTTGCATATTACTGAAGATGTGTCATATTTTTGACAGAATAAATTATCACATTTTTTTAACATGTCAGATGACTTTTATAGCAGATTAGTGATTTTCCTGAATTAAATCTAGCACCATCAGTTCATTCTTACCCTTCAGCTTGACCTGTCTCTTGAACCATTTCTCCTCCAATTTACCTACATCTACTTGGGAGGTCACTGTTAAAGCCAGCATATCCTAGCTGAATAGCTTCGTTGGAATCTAATTTCTTAATGATAATATTCTTTTACTAGTTACCATAGGCCTTGAAACTTTTCAGTCGTTTTTGACAACTTGCTCTGCCTCCTTTTCTTCATTATTTTGTTGCTGTTGTTGAGACAATCCAGGGTCTTAACTTTGTTGCCCAGACTGGAGTACAGTGGCACCATTATGGCTCACTGCAGCCTTGACTTCCTGAGCCCAAGCCATCCTCCCACCTTAGCCTCCTGAATAGAGGACCACAGGTGTGCACTACCATGCCTAGCTTTTTAAATTTTTGCAGAGATGAGGTCTTCCCGCGTTGCCCAGACTGGTCATGAACTCTTGGCTCTAGCACTCCTCCTGCCTCAGCCTCCCAAAGTGTTGGGATACAGGTGTGAGCCATCGCACCTGGCCAGACATAATTTTTAAAAGGCAATATAATGTCCTTGCTCTAATATAAAGGAAAAATAAAAGGAAAATAATTTGTAATAGTATGTATTTCATGCAAATACTCAGGTGGAATTATACTCTTGTAGGACAAGGTCCTACAGATTTACAAACTCCTCAACTTTCCTCTTCTGCTATGTTGTATTTAATACTTAAGCAATTTGACAGCAAAACTGGTATTCATACTAAATACAGTTCATCTCTGAAGTTGCAAATTATGAGTAGCTTTTTTCATTCTCATATAGTGTCTGATTAATATGGCCTGAGTTATAAAACTTTAAAGTTAGTGGGGAGACAAAAATATTTTATGTAAAATGGTTAAGACACTTTATTGTTACACATTTGGCTTTCCTTTTATGGTTCTTAATTAATAATTACCATATTTTACTGACTTTTTATGACACAGAGTCTCACTCTGTTACCCAGGCTGGAGTACAGTGGCGTAATCTCACCTCACTGCATCCTCCGCCTCCTGGATTCAAGTGATTCTCCTGCCTCAACCTCCTGAGTAGCTGGGACTACAGGTGTGTCCCACCATGTCTAACTAATTTTTGTATTTTTAGTAGAGCTGGGCTTATGCCATGTTGGCCACACTGGTCTTGAACTCTTGAACTCAGGTGATCCAGCTGCCTGGGCCTCCCAGAGTGCTGGGATTACAGGCGTGAGCCACCATTCCTGGCCTTGACTTCTTAATTTCAGAGTTTTGATATTTGGAGCAATCTTGTTCATTGATGTGACTTCATGTCATTTAAACAATTAGCTCAAATGGATTAGTTGTGTTTGCACAACTTCAGAGTAATTGTCACAAAGGAATCGGGTCCAATAGATGTTTTATCTCTATAAAGTTCAGATTGTTGCCTTGTGGTAACAAGAATTACTTGTTTTTGCTGTTCTTTTGAGCCGGAGTCTCACTCTGTTGGCCCAGGCTGGAGTGCAGTGATGTGGTTTCGACTCATTGAAACCCCCACATCTCAGGTTCAAGTGATTCTCCTGCCTTACCCTTCTGAATAGCTGGGATCACAGTCACGTGACACCACGCCCTGCTAATTTTTGTATTTTTAGTAAAGACGAGGTTTTGCCATGTTGGCCAGGCTGGTCTCTAACTCTTGACCTCAAGTGATGTGCCCTCCTCGGCCTCCCAAAGTGCTGGAATTACAGGCATGGGCTACTACATAGCCGAATTCTTTGTTTTTATACCATATTCCCCTTACCCTTTTTCTTAAACAAAAGGACAGTTCCCTTGATAGAAGCCAGTTATGTGTACAAAACACCTTAAACTAAGTCTAAGCCTAGAGTGTCTGTGATCTGTTTAGTTTTGTAAAGTACCTATTCCTGTAGTGGCAAAGATTTGTCTGAGAAGCCGTCAGAGATGATGCTTGCTTGACTGAGAAAAATGTAAGTGTAACTGTGGGTTTCTGGGTAGCTCTATTCCATATAATTCTGCAATTTCTGAAGGCACACTAAGGCCTGTCTGGGTCCATTCTGTGCAATTACATATTCTAAAATCTGTGGTTGACTAGTCCATGTTGCACCAGTTTAAAAATCTTATTGTCGTAGCATCATGATTTGTAGAGAAAGGTCTTGTGGAGAGATCTAAGTGGCTTAATTCCTAGGATATTTGACATTTATAAAATAACTGTTTTTTTCTTTTGCAGATTTCCTTGTGAAATCTCCTAGTAGGAAAAGTTCTTGGGATAAACTTCATTTGGTAAGCTCGTTTCTCCCCCACCACCCGCTAACACTCTCTCTGCTGTTTCAAGGCAGGGCAAAATTTACATTCATTTTTGGGGATCTGTTTGTCTATGTTCATGATTATTGAGATTAGTTTTTCTGTGTTCACTTTAATGTCCTTATATGTGATGTTTTGTTTCACTAGGACTCATACTAGGTCACTTTTTCTGTATATAATTATACTGTAATCGTGTACTGGGAAACATGTATTTAAGTTGGGATTTTATGAGTTGCAGCAGTAATCATTTATCTAAAGTAAATAGTTGTTATCAGTTTTCATTTGTTTTTGTTACTTATTTTTTTTGAGACTGTCTCACTGTGTTTCTCAGGCTGGAGTACAGTTACGTGATTTTAGCTCACTGCAGCCTTGAACTCCTGGCCTAAAGCAGTCCTCCCAGTTACTGGGACTATAGATTTGTGCCATCATGCCTGGCTAGTTTTGAAATTAAAAAAAAAATACATATATATATATAAATATATATATATAAATATATTAATATATATAAATATATATATAAATATATTAATATATATTAATATATATAAATATATTAATATATATTTATATATAAATATATTAATATATATTAATATATAAATATATTAATATATATTAATATATAAATATATTAATATATATTATATTAATTATATTAATTAATTATATTAATTAATATAATATATATTAATAATATATATATTAACATATATATATTAACATATATATATATATATATATATATATATATATATATATGGTTTTCAGTACTACCTGTAGTTTCAGGGATCCACAGGGGGTGTTGGAACATATTCTCCGAGGATAAGGCAGGGGATTACTATAGTACAAATGAATTTTAATAAAAACAAGTTCTGAAAAATTGGTGAGTTCTTTTCTCAGTGTGGCTGTTAAACCTTTTCCTTTTTCATAAAATGTCCTTTTCATAGACCTTTGTGTGTCTCTTACTACATAAATCTTTATTACTACCTCTTGTTTCTGCCGCCTGTTTAATTTAAAGAACTGTAGTATAGTTTTACTAGAAGACAAGTTATTGCTTTGGTTTTAAGTTCCTAAATCCAGGTCATTTTCTTGTTCAGGAACTGTTGGCTTGCCATTGCCCCTAGAACAAGGATCAAACTCCTTAGCATAACATTTTAGGTTCTTTACAGGTGAGCTTCAGACAGCTTGTCACCTGTTTTCTCTGTGCACCAAGTTCATCTCTTGTAGCCACACTGACCTACTTAAACTGTCTCTTAAATACTCTCCAAGGTGCTTTTTTTGGTCTTTCTTTGCTGCCATGCCATTCCTGTTCCTCCCTTGTCTCAGTAGCTCAAAATGTGGCTGGTTAAGTCATTAAAAGCTTGAGTCTTCCACAAGTCTTCCTTGAGTGCCCAGCTCAAAATCTTTCTCTGCTTTTTGCATTACCATGGAATTAAATTTCTGTATCTCTTAACATACTGTCTTATTGATTATATTTGTCTGTCACCCCCACAGGATGGGTCATGCCCTTGAAGGCAAGAACTCTATTCATATTTGAATTGTCAGTTCACAGAAACACTTCTAGAGTCCTGGGATACCAGTGCCTTCTCAGTATAAATTCTTGTTGACTAGAGTTTTTGTTTTGGTAAGAATAGGGAAAGAGCATAGATTGGTTTGAGTAGAGGTTGGTCAGCATAATCTTGTTGATTTAGGTTACTGTTTTTCCCCTACTTTTCTGTATAGTGAAGGATCTTATGGTACATAATCTGTGCCCTTGTAGTCCAGGTTGCTCAGTATGTTACTTGAGGTATTCTTTGCAAGTATAAATTTTAGTTTTTGAGTAAGGAATTGAGTAATTTATCTTTAACAGGTGCCAGAAAGATGAGATACCGTGTTCAATAGGAGGATTAAATGTTGCTTTGCTTCTGTAAAGATTTGTGAGAAGTCATGTTATGGGGAGGTACTGATGATGGAGCTGAGAGAAGCATGCAGGTTTTGGCTGTCAAATTTTCATATATTAAGAAAAGAGAGATTATTTGACCTTGAGGCTTGGAATAGGAATCTTAACCTTCATTTAGCTTGGAGGGTGGTGGGGTGTTGTAGATTAGATCTGTAGAGAAGGAAATGTAATCCTTTTAAATTAATTAATTAATTTTTGAGACAGAGTCTTGTTCTGTCACCCAGCCTGGAGTGCAATGGCTCAATCTCCAGCTCACTGCATCCTCCATGCCCTGGGCTCAAGCGATTCTTCTGCCTCAGCCTCCTGAGTAGCTGGGACTACAGGCATGCGCTGTCACTCCTGGCTAATTTTTGTATTTTTAGTAGAGAGAGAGTTTCACCATGTTGGCCAGGCTGGTCTCTAATTCCTGACCTCAAGTGATCCACCCGCCTTGGCCTCCCAAAGTGCTGGGATTATAGGTGTGTGCCACCATGCCCAGCTGGAAATGTAATTGCTAATGTATTACTTGGCTCTGTAGCATTTAATATTTATATTGCCATAATGTAAATGTATAAAAGTGTTACTTTTTTTTTTTTAAGACAGGGCCTTACTCTCTTGCCCATGTTGGAGTGCAGTGGTGCAATCATGGTTCACTGCAGCCTCACTCTCCTGGGCGCAAGTGATCCTCCCACCTCAGCCTCCTGAGTAGGTGGGACTACAGACATGTTCCACCTTGCCAGGCTAATTTGTTTCTAATTTTATAGAGACCGGTGTCTGATTATGTTACTCAGGCTGGTCTTGAGCTCCTGGGCTCAAATGTTCCTCCTACTTAAGCCTCCCATAGTACTGGGATTATAGGCATGAGCCACTGCACCTGGCCACATTCTTACCTGAAGAAGCATGATCTAGGTTTGAAGGGAAAGATGTGAATATATTTAATTTTATTGCCAGGAAACATACTGTTTAATATTTACCCCAGATTAAAGGAAATTAAAGAGATATAAAAATAGCTTCAATATGTGATCCTGGACTAAATCTTTTACCAAAAGGGGGAACATTGCTGTGAAAGATAAAGGATATGATTGGATTCATTGACAAAATTGGAATAGATATGGTAGATTAGAGAATTATATCATGTTATATTTTTGGAAATTGAAACTAGAACTGTGGTTACATAAGAGATATCTTTCTTAGGAAATACATACTGAAGTAGTAAGAGTTAAGAGATGTTTGTATGCAAACCTTTTAAATGGTTCAGAAAAAATGTCCGCGTGCATTTGTGCGAACAGAAAGGAGATAGTGTTGGGAACTGTCCTATCCAAATGCTCTGTAATGAAACATCTTATTTAATGAAGTATAGTCTTTATCTGTATAGCCATGTTTTGTTATGTTTCACTACATGTACATACTAATTAATAATCTTAAAAGTGCTTATTACATACCAGTAACAATTCTAAGCATGTTATATGCATTTTATCTTAATCCTCACAACTCTTTGATGCAATAATTGTTCTTTCCTAGTTTCCCTGATGAAGAAACTGAGGCTCAGAGAGGTAGTATGATTTACTCTCAGTCATAGTTAGTATATTGCGGCCCTGAGAGCTTTACATTCCTGATAATTTTTTCTTGAGGTTATTGTCTTAATACTCTGAGTTTAAATGAAAACCTTTCGTTAAAACTTAATTTTGAGTTTTCTTTTTAAAAGCTTTTTTGTAGAAAGATATGTTATCTGAATTGCAAATGTTTTAAAAATTTTAAAACTGAAAGTCTCTACTCCCACTCTCTTCCCTAGAGAGGTAAATTGTTAACAACCATTATATAATCTTTTTGTATGTGTGTAAACATACTTCAGAATTAATACAAATAATGCTTAGGCATATTTTTTATTTTAATTTTTAAAATTACAGATCATTGAAAAGTTATAGCAAGTTCATAACTGTTTTTTTAAACCAGAAGAATATGTATGTACAGTCTTTGACAATAATAATCCCTCTGCACCCCTCCCCCCAATTTATGCTTTTACCTAGTAAATTCATTTTTAAAAATAATCAGGGCTACAGAAATAGTGACTTGTGCAGAGATATGGATAAGTATGCTTATTGTAAATTTTTTGATTGCAATGGAAAAATGGAAACAACCTAAATGTCTCACTAATTAACAGATGTTTTATATATATATATATAAATTATATATGGAGAGAGAGAGAGACAGAGACATAGGAGGGATTTGTTACATTAATTGAATATGTATAGAAGAAACTACAGTATGGCTCCCCCACCCCACCCCATCCATTTTAGGGGGGCAGATGTGTGTGTCTTTGTACAGTCATGTACTGCATAATGATGTTTTGGTTAGCAACAGACCCAAGATACGATGATCATTCCATGAGATTAAAATGGAGCTGAAAAATTATTACCTAATGAAGTTGTAGTTGTCATAATGTGTTATTACAATTACTCTTTAAAAATAAATTTAGTGTAGCCTAGTTGTACAGTGTAAAGTCTATAGCAGTATACAGTAATGTCCTAGGCCTTCACATTCACTTACCACTCACTCGCTGACACACCCAGAGCAACTTCTGGTCCTGCAGGCACCATTCATGGTAAGTGTTCTATACAAGTGTACCATTTTGATCTTTATATCATTTTTACTGTATCTTTTCTGTTTATGTATGTTTAGATACACAAATGGGGAGCACTGTGTTACAGTTGCCTACAGTATTCAGTACAGTAACATACTGTGCAGGTTTGTAGCCTAGGAACAACAGGCTATACCATATAGTCTAGGTCTGTAGTAGACTGTCCCATCTAGGTTTGTATAAGTATCTCTATGATGTTTGCACAACAACTAAATCTATTGATGATGCCTTTCTCAGAACATGTCTCCATCGTTAAGCGAAGCTTGACTGTATGTGCATAGAGAAGTGTCTGGATAGACTTATAAGATAGTTAATAGTTGCTATACTTACATGTAGATGAACTAGAGGGCAGTAAGGAGTGAGAAGGGAACTTCTGCTTACCGATTTTTTAAAAAAGGTAATTTTAACTCAGATATATTAGTA